GGTTTAGGGTTTCGGGCTTTTTGGGGCGCCAAGGCCATGCTCTAAAAAGGCGTCTCGGCGACTTTGGGCCTGAGCCGATGCTGCTCAGGCCACTTAGGACGACCTCGATGATACCCTAAACCCTAAAGCCTAGGAGTTAGGATTAGGGGGANNCTCTCAATAAGGTCCCTTTTAGGAGAGCCATAACTTAAGAAGGGTCCGCTTTAAGGGGTCTCCCTCATACTACCTAGGAAAGCCTGATTCCGAAACCCTAAACCCTAAACCGCAGATGAAAGGCAAAGGAGGCCCGAATTGTATGTGCAAGGCGGTTCAAGGTTTAGGTGTTCATATGATCGAAGTTGGGGGGTTAGCTGCTTTTTGTTGCTTTGCTTACGGGCCCGCTGCCAGTGGTGCATAGGATTTAGATAGATGTTGTGTTAGCGTTTAGACCTAAGGTTTAGGGGCTGTTTGAGGGCATGGGTACAGCAGCTCATACCCCTAACACCCCAAACCCAAACACTAAAAACCCTCAACCCTTAAACCCCCAAACCCCAAAACCACTCAACCCTTACCCCAAAAGTTCCCTAAACCCTAAACCCCAAAGCCTACAATAATGTAGGTTTCGGTTGGTTTAAACCCTAAGGTTCCCTAAAAACCCAAACCCCCCAAAGTGCCTGCATACGGTTTAGGGTTTAGGGTCCCCCCCCCCAAGAGCCTGCATCAGCTTGTTCCGCATCTTCTCGCACATGGCCTTCCAGTCAGCCTGCGAGCAGGATCAGGATTACCATGTAAAACAAAAACATACCTTAACCCCCCAATCCTCGAGTTTAGGGTGGAAGTGTTTGGGGTTGTGGGGTTCAGGGTGAAGGGTCAGGCAGAGCTTTACTCTCTCCCTAAGGCTTGATGTGCCTTAAGGGCTCCTTTAAGGGCTACTTCCTTCAAGGCCCTAAGGGTCCAAGTACCCAAATAGTAGGGTTTCAAGGTCCAAAAACCAGTCAGAGTACGGATTTTGGGACCTAAAACCTTACTACAGTTGATGATAGAAATCCTGCATTACCTTAAGGACCCCAAACTATGGGAATTATGGATCTATTCCTTACTATGGGGCAATGCAGGATTTATATCACCAACCATATTTGGGTCCCTAAACCCTAAACCCTCGGACCCTGTGGGAGGATTCGTTTAACGGTTCACTTCAGGGTTCTGTTTAGAGGCCCATGTACCCGGTTAGTAGATGCTTAGGCCAGAACGGGGTTTCTCTATAGGGGTATTTTTACGCCTAGAGTTTAGGCTTTACGGTTTACGGTTTAGGAGTGGGGGTTTAGGGTGTAGGGTATAGGCTTCAGGGTTTAGGGTTTTAAGTATATACTGTGTAGGTACATGGAGCCTGAAGCTATACCTTATGGGTTCAGTAGCGCTTGGGAACCATGGACTCACAGCCGCTTTGAAATCAGTCCCAGGGCCTGCAAACCCCCCTGCTGGACCCTGACAAGCAACCCTCCTCCACATTATTCCTAAACCCTAAACCCGAAAAGCCTAAACCCTAAACCCCTAAACCCAAACCCTAAAGCCTAAGCATCGAAAGCCGCAAACTCCGAACGCGAAGCTAAACCCTTGTAAAGCCCAAACCACAACCCTCGCTAAAGGTTGTTGTGACGGTTTAGGGCGAGGGCTTATAGGAATGAGTTCCGGTTGCAAGTCTTGCCACATGTTTTGGTGGGTTTGGTCTTTAGGGCTGCGTTTGGGATGTAGGGCTACTCTGGGGGATTAAGACTTCATTCAGGAATTCAAGACCTGCCAAAGACATTTGTACATAGTACAGAGCCTTTAAGGACATTTGTACATAACACAGAGCGTTCAAGTGGGTATTATCTTTAGGGAGCCCTAAGATCTCAAAAAAGGAAACAAAGCATCCACTGGGAGACCTAGGGTTCGTCCCGTATGCAAGTCTTTCTGTGACAAGGAATAGCAAACCGAGCTCCAGCCTGGCTAATTATACGGTATGCAGGAAACCCTAAACCCTAAACCCCTAAACCCCTAAACCCTAAACCCTAAATCCCCAAACCCTAAACCCTAAACCCATTTCCAGAACTCCAAATACCCTACCCCTGTCAGGACATGTCACAGGAACTCATAATCAGGAAACATAAAACCGTCAGGCACCCCACCTATCAAACCTATACAGCCGCTTATCCTTACCCATAGGCACGCCGGTCGCCTAAAATTGAGCAATAGCAGCAAGCTGCTGACAGCACTGCTTTTTGGGGTTCAGGGCTTTTGTCCATCTCGCATTAGGTCTTAGGGTTTTTTGGCCTCACACCCAGCTTCACACCCAGCTAGGACAAGCCCGCATGGGTTTGTGGGGATGATGGTTTAGGATGTAGAGTTCAAGGCTAAAGATGTAGGTAGGGTTTCGGGGCTTAGGGTTTGAAGGCTAAGGCAATCAAGGCTACCTGGGTCAGATGGAAATCCTGTTGGCTGTCGGGACTTCTATCTTTCGCAGCCTAGGATTCTGCCCAGAGAGCCCAATACCCCTTAATTAAGGAATATACCTTAAATCATAATATTAAGGCCCCTATAGGTTAAAGTATATTCCTTATTTAAGGGGTGTTGGGCTCTCTGGGTGGTCGGTTACGCTTCAGACCACCCATGAAAAAAGCGCACCAAGACGGAGTGGATTGAGCAGTGCAGGAAAGGCAACACGCACGCACAAAGCATTTTGCGTCTTTCAGACGTCCCACCGTACACTGCACATTTGTGCAGCATCCTCTGCATGACTAGGCCAATGCACAGAACACGCACAGAGGGACCGCTAGACGAGACCGTTGCCGCTAGTCACTAATCATTAATTAGAATCTCAAGCACAAGACTCAAGCAATTGCTTGGCATCCTGGTAGATGGCCTTAAGGAATGGGCAGCCCATGATGCACCGATTCTCATCCATGTACATCGTGGTGCTCTCAACGTCCCAGCCGTCAGGCGTTGTTATCTTCGCCAGGATCTCCTCAATCTTCGTGCCTGCTATTCGATGATATCTATACATGACCCCGTTAATGTCCAGAAAAATCGAGACGAACGCCTTTCAAAAAAACAAAGCAGTGCTCGGGATTCGGAAATCCGGCCTTCGCTCCTGAGTTTTTGCGGCGGCAGGGGCCCCCAACTGTGCAGTAGGCCTTGCCCTTCCTCCCATTTTGTGATAACTTTGGAGGCTAAGTGCCTGGAGGTGGGATATTCGCTGAACTCTCGCATGGACACCACGTAGTCCAAGTCCCTGCTAACGTAACCAAGGCAAACCTCTCCTCTGCCGTCCCCTCCGGGCAAGTCAAACTCGCCACTCAAATGGAAGATCGCCAGAGGAACTTTGGGCTTCGGACGATGAAAGCAGAAGTGCAACCAGCGGCCGTCTGTCGGTGATTTCTCAGAGGTCTTGGAAACCTCCCAGCCGCCAAGGCCCATGGCCAGGAGTGCTGGCGACTCCTCCCCTACTACTGCCAAAGCACCAGCGAAAAGTTCCGGCAGCTTTTGAGACATCGTCCGTGGAAACGCAAGTCTGCGCCTAGTCAACTCTAAGCTCTCGTTTCCGTTCATGGCCGCGAAGCTCTCTGACAAGCTCCGGACTATGAGCTCAGGCTTGGACTCCTGCTCCGAGTCAGCATCCGCTTTCTGTGACTCCATGGTTGGCATATTTGTGTAAATCTCAACTTGCCCTGCAAAGGAAGTGTACGATATCTTGTGGTTGTTCATGTCGCTCCTGGCCCAAAGGAAGCAGTTGCAAAGATCAGCGTCCCTTTCAATGAGCTGTTCCAAGGTGACCGTCTCCAGCTCTTCCAGGATCCAGAAGCCCTCGCCTGCCTGCAGGCATTGGGGCCACAACCTCTGGTTCCATGTTGTGGCCATATAAATAATGATTCGATCATTAATTTTAATCCTTCATTAGGGTTTTATTATAACAAAAATCTAAAATTTTGTATCCAACAAGGACCCAGAACCTCTTGAGACTCCTGCAGCTGCGCAAGGCCTTCAAAGCTGCAGGGCCGCTGAGCATTCGGAGGATGCGTGGGAGCCACACGGACTCGAAAGTCTCCATGGCCCGCACAAGACTGAAGCACTGCTGCAGTAGAGGGTTTGGGGTTTAGGGTTTAGGGACCTCTAAACCCTAAAGCCTAAACCGGTTTCATCCAAGGCAGTAGCTCAAGCACTTTTCACGGCTCAACCATGCACACACAAAGCAAGTCCAAGACTTTTGCATCCACACATGATGCTGCCCTGGTCTGGTGCGGGGTGCCAAGAATGGAGGGGCTTCTTTACGAATGCCGCTCTTGGGATAGCGCCTGTCATTGGCCTCGCTCTTACAACGCACTGCGAAAACTGCGGGAGCTCGAAGAAGGCTTCGGGGACTTCCACGCAGAAGAAAATGGGAATAATCGTCGGCACATATCGGCTCCAGTCCTACATCCTCCCCAAACACCAAACCCTGAAACCCGAAGCTCCCGCCCCTAAGTAGCTCCTTTTTGGGGATTACCTTCTAGGATTCTAAGTTAAGTATAAACCACAAAAAAGGAACTACGTAGGGGCCTATGGGTATAGAAAAAAATCTTACAAAGCCCCAACCCCTCTAAGTCATCCTCGATGCGCCTGGGTGATGAGGCGGCTTGTCGTGGAGATGCTGACCCTTTCAAAGCGCAGATCACGGTCGAGAGTTTAGAACTTAAGGGGTTTAGGTGTTTAGGGTTGAGGGTTTAGGCTTTAGGGGTTTAGAGGTTTCGGGTTTAGGAGTTTAGGGTTTAGGGATTTAGGATTTCGGGTTGAGCTTGTAGGGTGCAATACAAAAATCCTGTTTAAGCAATAAACAACACAAGCCTTAATCCACAGAGCTCTGACTTAAAGAAGCAAGAACCCATCCAAGCCTAAAGTCGCATATAAACGACATGCCGAGACGCTCACACACACACACCCACCCACCCACCCACCCACCCACCCACCCACGCACGCACGCACGCACGCACGCACGCACGCACGCACGCACGCACGCACGCACGCACGGACGGTTTGCAAGCTTGACTCTGTGATGTGAAGCTCCTCTCGGGGGTCGTGGCCTGCATAACCTGTCGGGCAAATGAAACGAAGCGTTTCGCGGGGGCTTGAAGACATGCGAGTGGATCTGCCGGCAACCTAAACCCGAAAGCCGCGGCGTTCTTGGTGTCTCGTGTTTCGCCCAGGGGAAGAAGGGGTGAGGAATTCAGAGAGTTTCTGTATTTGTTTTTGCAGCTTTTCAGCTAGGTCTCCAACCTTGCCTTTGCAGACAGCGATGCTGACTTGCTGCAGATCGGCGGCTTGCCGCTCAGTCAGAGAAGCAGAGATTCAAACGAAGCTTGAGGCCGGTAACCTTGGAACTTAGATCCCACGGATGTCTCGGCCTGGCCCCGCATCTTATTCCTAGGCCCCGAACTAACCAAAACTTGCCTCACTCTTCCCTTTTTGGCCCCTCGAAGGTACGGTCGTCTGCGTAAGCCTCGCATTCGACAGGTCGTATAACGTGGACGCCGCCTGTCGACTCCTCACAGGTGACCGGCTATCGTTGGCCGCTCAGGTTTTGGCAGAGGGTTTCAAAATTTGCAGACATAAAGCTAGGAACTCGCCACTGTAGGAATCTGAGAGAAAGAGTCAGAGCAAGGACTGGCTAGACTCCTGCACCCTGGCCCATGGCCCCGAATATGTGTAGAAGGGAGATCGTCATTGCCCACTAGCTTGACGAACCGAAGCCCTGCACACTGTAATTCACCAATTCTTGTATTGCAAACAGAAATCCCCGAGTAGAAAGCTTGCAAAGTGGAATTTCTGCAGAGCTTGGCACAGAAGTTATGCTGCAGAAGAAGGCCCCTGGAGAGAAGTCTTCACTGCGAAGCCTCTTGCGCCTGGTGCTTCGAGCAGTGCTGCAGGGTCTTGTTGACCGACTCTAGGGTGGGGGAAGAGACCGACAGGGTCCACGTCTGCTTGTCCTGTGGGCAACGCTGGCATGCTTCTTGCCAATTTGCAACAAGAATCGCGGATTCATGAGGATGCAGCTATGGAAAAGTGCGCAACAGCACCGCCTCGGCACTTCGGCAGCCAGAGCACAGGCAAGCCGGAAAATCTGCACCTATTCTTAAATTCTAAAAAGTGCTACAGCTGCTTGCTGCAATTGCCGATGCCAGAACCACTGCAAAAACAAGGTGGCAACGGATCCAGGCTTGGCCTCAGGCGGGCTGAAAAGCCCGGCTTTTTCTGGAAGAGGCTCTCCTGCTGGATCCCGGTCGATGCTATCTACAAGTCAGCACGTAGGTGTCTGATGCTGCACTAGCGCCTTCCTCAATGGAGTGGCTGTTGTCGGCAACGTGGTGGCATCCGGGCTGGTCCCTGCGTCATCTCCAGCCAGCATGTGGTGTTGCTGGGCCCGGTGTAACAGTGGCCGCAGCTGCATTGCCGGCAATAGGGTATGCTCCACACCCGAAGTGGCATTCGCTGAGGTAGCAGGTCCGGGCAAAGCATCCCAGCAGCTCCATCATCGAAGGTGATGGGCCAGGCGGTAATTCCCGCGTGACAGGTGTGCCTCGAATGGGCCAGGCCTGAGACATGGCACAGAAAGGTGACTCCGGAGTGTATGCTTTTCGCACTGGTTTCCGCAACATTTGCTCCGGAGCTCCCTCCAGCCTCTTTTCCAGTTTCCCCGATGATGGAGAACGACCAAACCCACGGTACCGGGTCCGTGGTGTGGACGGCTCGTTGTCCAGAGACAACGGAGCCGGAGCTGGTTCTGGAACCGGAGCAACGATCCACGAAGCGCCAAGAAGACTGCAAATTTACTGCATGACCCCGCCCGGTAAGGTGAGACGCAGCTGCCCTGAGCAAGCTAGGAGGCCCTCGCACCGGTAAATGCAGTACCTCGCCGTCTGGGCGAGGCGCCAACCCGGCGTGCTGCTTCTAGGACTAGTGTATACACCAGGCCCGCCCGTTTCACCCCAACAGCAAAGGCTACGCGCGAGCAAAAATTCTCCTCCACCCACCCTGGGAACAAGAATCCTAGCTGCAGAACCGTCCAGATTTCACACCTGTTGAAACTCTGCTAGCCCCGAGCCCTCCCACAGCAAAAGCGAGGCCTCTACCTTTGCGAGGGCTCCAGCTGCAGCTCCCGAGCGCAGCTGGGGAGCCAGGTCGCCGTTGGCACCAACCAGGCAAAGACATTGGCCCCGGCTCCTTGCGCTTTGCGTTGCGCGGCAGTTGTGATTTGATGATGCATCGAGGCTGCGTACGACAGTGATAGCTGGCACTTCCGTTGTGACAGCAGCAGTGTCTTGAGGAACGCCAGCCAACAGGAATGGTTAGCATCACTGTTGAAAGGCTGGCCAAAAGTCTGAATTTAGATTTCAATTAAGAATTTGGCCCGGTCACGCCTGTTGCAACAAGTAACTGGTCCCACACTATGGAAGGTGTCAACAGTTGGCCTGGCGAATGGCAAGCTTCGTCACTGATGGGAAGGGCTGCAAACATCTGCGTCTGCTGCAGGTGTCTTTCACGGAGGTTAATGTCCTTGAAACGCAGACGCACATAGGAGCTTACACCAAGTGGGGTGGCCCAGACAAGGTAGAGTCTGTGAAGGAGCCGGGTCTTTGTGATGTTGAGGGCCCCTTCTAGGGAGCGCATGCGAAGTCCTTCCTGTGCCAGACACCAGGAAACTTCCAAGTTGAGGTCCGGAATCCTTGAAGAAAGCCCTCTCAACGCACGGCAATTGGACATTTGCCAACTCATCCCTTGATAGTCCCGAGACATACGGCTTCGACCTTGACAAGTCCGGATCAAACACTGGCCTTGTGCCTCTTCCTGAGGTCCAGCTTGGCCGAGCAGTCGACGCCTGTCAGCATCGTTCTCTTCGACTCCTACATTTCGGCCGGCCGCCCAGATCGTGCACCAGCATGTACCAGCCCTCTGACGTGAAGCGGACTGCAGAGGCTGGGAACATTTCCTTTACGGACGTGGACGTTGACAAGGGCCAGGCACTTCGGAATTCGTCGGCTCGGCTCGGCATTGCATCCTCGACGCTGTGGCATGGCAGATTGGCGGCAACCTGAGCTGGGCAGAGCCGGCCGACATCTCCCAGGTGCAGAGAACAGTGTGGGGAGGATGCCGATGTTGCAGGGATGTTGAGGGGTTAGTTTAGCAGGAGGCTGGGAGGTCTGCCGGGGACGACCTGCAAACTCAAACTGCACCCCTCGGGGGTGGGTCAGTCTTGCTTCCAAGCCAACGTTTCAATGCGCAGGGGTTGCTGCAGGGAATTCTCGGGCTGAGATAGGCCCGCTTGATCAACTTAGAATATACTTGCATGTTCGAGGGATGTGGCATTCCGGCTAGCTGCTAGGCTAGACTGCACTTCAACGAGGCAGAGAGCCTCTATTGGAAGCCCTGATTGTTTCCTGACCCTTTAGTCCCTGAAGGGCCTCCGGGTTCCAGAGTTCCCAAACCGGGTTTAATGCCCTTCGTTCTACTCTCTGTCGCAGGCATTTTTTGGCACTGAGGGTTTGTTGTTTGGCGTTCAACAGCTGCTCTACTTCAGGTGCAAATTCAGACGTGCAGCAGCTGAAGTGACGTTGAAACCTGCTGCTCGCAGGTCAACAACTGCTCCATTTCGGGTGCTGTATTTGCGAGCTGCTGTCTTTTTGAGGTTTGCTGTATATCCGCGGCCGTCAGGTCACCGGCTACAGGATCTACCTCGGCACAGGGGCCGTTTCCCTCAGATCATCTGGCGTGATGGGTCGATCTTCTGTGCTCTCCCAAACTTCTGCAGCTTTTGGCCTCAGACATGCTGGAGAGCTGAGGCCTCCGTGAAGATTTCCCATCTGGGCGATGTCACCGGTGCCAGCAACACGGAGCCTCGACGCAGATCAAGTGTCTCATGTCTTGTCTTTGGGGGTCCCAGATTCTTGGAAATTCCTGAGATTCACGTTCAATTGTCATACTACGTCATTAAGCCTGGCCTAAGGCCTTAGGCTTGGGACTTGCGGCAAGCATCGTGGTATGCCTAAATGTCCAAATCCAGTCAGCTCTTCGACAACTTCAAATTCTGTTTGCTAGAGTCGTCGCGAGCGGAGCAGTGAAAACCTCCTGCCGGAACAGCGACAAACCCCCCAAAACAAAAATCCCAACGAGGTCGGTCTAGCTATCCCGAGTTCCCAGCGGATGGACAATAGGTTGTGAAGAAGCAATCTCAACGGGGCTCCCTCCAACGTAGACGTCTGTACAGATGGAAAGGACGCGCAAAGAGCACATCCCAAATTCCAAACTCGACAAAGATCAAAAAACGATCAAGAACCCTGCCATCTTTGAGAACCCGATGCACTCGGCGTTGCGAGGACTTCGAGGTAGCCCTTGACACAGACAGCAACGGAACGAGCGACCTCCTGGCCGGATGCTCACACTGCTGGACAGTTGGTCTCTGGAGGAGTCTCGCCGGAGGTTTGTGGAAGGCTTTGAAGATCCTTGAAGGTTGTATCAGATCTGACAAGAGCTCAAGGCTGTAAGGCCGAAGTGGCGAGAGCTTGGACTCACAGCCCTAGGCCCTAGGCCATCCTAAGCCTCAGGGCCCAGGGCCTATAGGGCTCAGGCCGAGCGGAGGCGAGAGCACTTTCAAGCGCTTGAGGTCTGCCTGCTGTCGGGCGGTGTGGAACAGCGGGGCACCCGGGCGCAACTCTCGAGATTGAAGTCCTGGTCCCGACAGCTCTCCTCGCTTTTTGGCCTTATTGCCTCGGCAAAGGTCTGTTTGCGACGCTTACATCTTCAGGGACACCACGGAAAGCGTGTCCGGCATCGCTTTCCAGGGCAAGGACCTGCCAAAGCTTGGATTCCCCTGACCAAATCTTAGGCTATCTCAGGCTTCTCCAACATCGGCAGGACCTGGATCTCAATGAGCTGGGTGGAACGGTTTCCTGGACTCCGCCTCTGGTCCTCGTTGGGCACTCGAGGATGTCCTTCAGAGTGGAAAAGGCGGCTTCTTTTCTTGTCCTGAAATTTGAGCCCAGGTCTACACCCAGCAGTACGTGGTGTACCTAGCAGAGGACTCTTCGGGCACAGCTCGCTCACAGGCGCCTGGGGACATGAAGTGCTTGGTACCAGTTCTGCTACAGCAATCAGATCGGTGGAGGTTGAGTCTCCGGTTGCAGTCGGCCAGCCTCCCGGCCAGTGGAGTCTGCTCGTCCACTGCACAGTGGACCCTGAGATTGAAAGCGTCGTCGGCTGGGAAAGCGTCACAGAGCTTAAGCTCAAGAGGCACCGAGCACCTGTGCTTGCATTGGCCTGGCCGAGGCACAAACGAGATCTTGGTGCCTGCTGACACGCCCCGGCTGAACTTCACCCACTTTGCAGTCTATACGCAGACGGCCTTTCAGGACGGTCTCCGTCCTCGTTCTACGGCCTCTCAGAATTGTCAGAGCCGAGCCAGGAGCAGACAACCCCAGGCAGCTTAGCCTTCGACGATGCGGTTGCGGTGGTTGGGACCTCAGAGCAGTTTGCTTCACCAAGACTGCATTGGCAGTCTTCAAACTAGGCTGCATGCCTGGGAGGTCGTCTGCCCAACAGGGATGTACTGACAGTATTTCCCATGTATCTACAACACCGACGGAGCTAGAGAGAGGCATGTATGGATGCCGGAACACATTCGGCACTCAAGTACGATGAAGTCACATGCTATGTTGGAACAGTTGCAAAAGAGTCCACAGCTTGCTCAAACCATAATCCAACAAGCAAGCCAAGTGCCGAAGTTTTTCAGCTGAATGCCGAAAACGCCCGCCGGGAGATGAGATAGGAGGCTAGCAGGCACTAAAGACCATGCGGTTCAATGATCATCGTGTACGAAACACTGAAATCGCACTTCAGCAAGAAACGGTTAATTCTCATCAGTGTTCCTTGTGGAATGCTACGATGCAGGCCCGCAATGTGGGCTTCACGGACGACGACCTAGACCAAGGCGCCATCGGCAAGGGCCCCAGGTGTTTAGCTTGTCGGTTTTTGCCAGAGGGGCGGACATTTTTGGTTAGGCAAAACGGCAGGCTCACTCACGAGAAGCAGATGGCCCTGCTTCAATCCCTGACCCTGGCCCGGTAGCCCCGGTCTATGGGTCTAGCTATGTTTTATTTTTTTTTTCTCTCTCTCTCTCTCGCTTTCTCGCTCTATCACTATCACTCTCTCGGTTTTTGTCTCTTATCTCTATGTGTACATGCATGCGGAGAGGGAGGGAGGGAGGGAGGGAGGGAGGGAGGGAGAGAGAGAGCGACAGAGACCATTTTTGCTCTGAAAGCAGCGTCCTCGGGGAACTGGGAACTTGTCTTACACCCCTTCACCAGGCCCGCAATATGCGGGTGGGCCATCGGCCCGAGGGGCCTGAACAGCCCCTCATGCCCGGGCGGGAGAGAGAGAGAGAGAGAGAGACAGACGCGCGGGTGCGCGCTCGCGCGCGGAGGATTCAGCTGGACCGCTGTTTCCTCCTGCCCCTGCAGAGAGAGAGAGAGAGAGAGAGAGAGACAGACGCACCAGGAGATCGACCCAACCATGACAGCCACCGTCCCTGAACCGGAGCCAACGCCAGCAGAAGCCGCAGCGGACACCGCAGGAACAAGGGGGCTCCAGCCAGCAGCAACAGCAGCAGCATCAGCAGCAGCCCCAGCAGAAGCACACGAAGAGCCGCAGACCAAGAAGCAGCGCACAAGCCGTTCTACAACCACAGACAAGAGACACGCAACGGGGGGCCCAGCAAGCAACGAGGAACCACAGCAAGTAGAGGAGCCCAATGCCTACATGATCGTGCGCGCGAGGCAGCTGATGGGGCAACTAATGCCCACCCTGATCGGACCAAGTCCCCATCGCTGCAGAAGCCATCAACCAGCTGGATAGATGGACACGAGGCATATGGGGACACCCCATCCAGCTGGTTGAAGACACGCACACCCTCTGAAGGGATGGTAAAGGTGCCATGGCTCCCGCTAGCAGCCGTGCCGATCTGGGAACAGGAGACAGGGCGCTCTGGCGACCAGCGGGGGCAGCAGCCTCAGAAGCCCAGCAAGACGACGACGCACACACGACGGGGACCCCGCGCTGGTTTTGGAGAAGACGAAGCGCTACTGAGCAGAGCGAATCTCAAGGAGAGCCGAGCGGCCAAGAAGGGGACACAAGGGAGCAGCAAGCCCCCCCTAGGAGACGCCGAATGCATCCAGCCATGTGCGACAGCCATGTGCGACGACTGGTCTCACTGCTATTGTCAGGTTGACTCTCTTTTTGCAACAAAGCTGCATGCACGGCGTGAGGGATCCACGCAACCATATCCACCACGAGATGCAACAGCCTCAGTTTGTGATGTCCCCCTAGCTCATAGACCTAGCCCCCAATGTTTGGTTCCTGACCCGGAGGCTCTTGCACCCGACCACAGCACACCAACGCAGGCGTGGGGACCCCAAATGTTTGTGATGTTCCCCTATGGACCTTTGCCCTTCCCCTGGCTTTCCTCATCGGGGGTCCGCGCCAGCACACAAGCACAAGTAGCACCACAAACCCACACGCAGTCGCTAGCACCAACACACTCTTGAGTGGCAAGGGAACACCGGGCTGCGTTTTTAGTCGATGTTTTGACAGGGGGTGGTGTAAACCATGCCTGTGTTCACGAGTACCATAGCCAGTTCGAGCTGTCGGACTCCGGAGGCCCAAACAGAGGGCCAAATATCCTGGACACACCCAGACCCGTAGCCACCTGCAACGACAGCCAGCTACAACACTGAGTGAGGGTCGGCACCTGCCAGCTCGCCAAGGCGTGGGGGTGGTGGGGTTCCAAAAGACGGGGGCATGTAAGACTGTTTGCGCTACCAGGAAGCAGGTGCCGAAACTCACCAATGTCTCACAACGGACAGACACGAGACCTCGGCGTAGCGCGTGAGCGCGCGGGCCAGGTCTTCAGGGGCCTACCCCAAGCGTCGTGCAAGCAAGCAAGCAAACAGACGCATGGGGGAACAGATGCAGTCTCCGTCATGCAGCATGTGTACTGAGAGTATGTATGGTCATCATGAGTCCTTTATCCTATACTTTATGGCACCAGCCGAATATGATGACCTACATACGTTCTTCACTCCCCCACGCCCGATAAAACATCGGGTGGGCTACAAGCTCGGGGGCATTGACCTGCCCTCATGCCCGACAGAGAGAGAGCGCAAACCTAAAACCCCCGATCACTTATCGTGATTACCCTCTTGTAGGTCCTATTCTCCTGGGGGAATATAGATGACGTCTTCTTCAAAGTGCATGTGTCATGGAGTGTGCTTTGCTTCGTATTCTCTGCTCTCATGTGCAGCCCCCTTCACTCCCCAACTTACTCCGGTGCTTGAAGCAAGCCAGTGGGAGTCACTTGACAGCTACATGTCATGTTTACTTTTAGACAACTGTGTTTGTGTTACATGGTTCAGGTGACATGCACTGACGGGCAAGCAGCCAAACACAGTAGGGGGGCCGGGCCCTGTGTCGTGGTGTTCACGCATTGCCTTGTCTTAAAACAAGGGCCCGTCCCTCATCTGATGCTTCTGGTGGTCGTTTTCGCAAGGGACACGCCAGTGGAAGCCACTTGACAGCTGCGTGTCATGTTCACCCTTCGTCAGCTTTATTGGTATTCACGTAGTTCAGGTAGGTGACATGCACGTCTGGCGATCCCAACATGGTAGGGAGACCGGGCCCTGTGTGGTGCTGTTCACGCTTTGCCTTGTCTTAAGACATGGGCCCGGGCCTCAGTTGATATTTTTCATAGTCGTCTCGCAGGGAGAAGCAGCTTCTACGTACTTGCAATGGTTCATTGTTTTTGCGAGGGGTGACGTGAGCAAGCGACTCTCAACGTTGCAACCATTACCCCTCTACAACGCGGGGGATGGTTACCAACGGCATCCTGCACCACAGCCGATCCTGATCCCCACGTACAAGGTGTTGCGTCTTTTTTACAGTGCGTGGGTACGTGGGGTGTCGCCCAGGTTGCTTTGGTACGTCGGTACGGGTCGACGTGTCACCCAACCCCCTGAAAGCGCTACAAACTGTGAGGGGCCATGTGGCCAAGGAGCCTGACCCGCCCCTTATGCCCGAAAGAAGAAGAAGGAAGAAGGCAAGGAGAGCCGTACTCGCCCCACGACTGTCGGGGGCGCTAACTAACGCGCGCGGTGGAAGGGGAAACCCTTCCACACTAGTCCTGGCGAAAGAAAGAAAAATGTAGAATTAAGAGCAGTGCCACGACACGCTCAGCCAGCAAAAACTCCGCTCCTACGCAGAGGAAGAAGCCGGACGAGATCCAGTATCTCTTGGATAAAGCTATGAAGACGTGGACTTTTGGGACCCGATAGAACGAAGACACGCGACAAGCCTTAGACGACATCATCTTGTATGTGCAGGGAATCACAAAGGAGACCGGGGGCAAGCCCCAGCAGCAACCAATTGTTGCACAAGCCACAAAGCTATCAGCTGAACCACCAACCAGTGCTCAAGTCCCACTTCCCGCCTCCGCGGAGGAGAACACGACGCCACCTGAAAGTGCACGAGTACTTGGTCAGCCACTTCCGGCGAGCACCACCACCAGCCAGTGATCGAGTACAACCTCCCCGAAAGTCGGGTTTCGACGCCAGGGAAGAGAACTCAGCTGTGGAGGCGGCAATACCACGCCAGGCGGATCACGCCATCAGGCCGAGGAGGAGGTCAATGTCGGGGAAGTCCCCCCGCGCGAAAACACTAGTGCCGCACCACGTCTCTTGCAGCTGTACCAGGCCGGTGAAATTTCCAGGGAAACCTTGGACGGGACGGACGACAGTGTGTGGCGAAAGTACAGAGAGCGGTGCAAGACAGAATACCCCAACCAACGCCGTGATGCAAGACGGCAGAGTGAATGGGAACCAGACCAACGACGAGTCGCGCGCAAGAAGCATTGAGAGGCGGAGAGAAAATGATAGGGAGAACCATGCTGACTTCGAATTGATTTTGAGGGATGCTAAACATGCGATTCCTGCTCTGCATAGCCGCATTGCGTGTTTCTTTCCGTACGACGACATACCGATAATTTCAAGTGCATCGATCAATTTTAAAAAGGAGGGGTTGAAAGCTCTGCGCTGGCACCTTGTCTGTGAAATACATACGGCGGGCAGGTGCGGGAGAAATCCCCGACCCCTAACCCTGGCGAAAGAAAGAGAGACAGAGAGAGAGGGAGAGAGAGAGAGGGTCCCCTTTACCCTTGTGAAAATAGAGAGACTAGCATGTCTACTTCATCTTATGATTGCAGTTTCTCCTCTTGTTGCCTGCGGCAGCTCCCTGCTTTTTTTCGCGATCATTGCCTTGGTTCGTGTATGCATGTAACATATTGCCACCCGCAGCCGTCGGGGGCGCACTGGGGCTTGCCTTGACACAGCTATATTCGATGAGGAGGGGAGAGGCGAGGGGAGGAGAGGGGAGGGGAGGGGAGAGGGGAGGGGAGGAGAAGGGAGGGGAGGGGAGGAGGGAAGGGCAAGGGGCTTGGCTTGACACAGCTGTATTCGATGAGGAGGGGAGAGGGGAGGGGAGGAGAGGGGAGGGGAGGGGAGAGGGGAGGGGAGGAGAAGGGAGGGGAGGGGAGGAGGGAAGGGCAAGGCAGGGCAGGGGCGGGGAGGCGAAAGGAGAACAGGAAGAAGAGATGGCGAGTGTCTGTGTTTGTGAGCCCGTGTTTGTTTGTGTTTCCGTGTTCACAGCTTCTGCTTTACGATTCTACGGTGACGATTCAGACTCGGTAAGTATGAGTTTCACGGTTTGCGAGTCTGAGGTGGCTATGTCATGTGGACGGCGCCGACGGACTGGGTTCGGCCCTGAAGCTTGTATCCCCGACGCTTAATGGAGAAGGTTTAATCCCCAAATAAACTAGAAGTCCAACCAGCCGAAATCACAGGCTTGTGTGTGTCGAGCTTGTTTTCCGCCCCAGGTGATGATGCAGTTCTGCAG